ATTTATCTTGGGGAGTGATTATTACCCCCAGAGAAGCGATCCGCGAATTGACTAACAACCGGGTTCCTACTTACTACTAAACAGAGGTGTGCGGAGTAAGTAAATTTGCCTAACATTTCTCCCTGCCCGGGAATTGAACTCAGGTCTTCTCGCTCGCAAGGCAAATGCTCCAACCAATATGCTACAGGACTCCACAGGACTCGAATAATAACAATTCCTGAATTTGATATAGACCCTCAACACACAAGATCTGAACCAGTTTTATGTTTCACTCACTTTAGACAGTGGCAAACAGGAGCCCAAGGTATTTACAGGGTGACCAAAAAGTTGTGATACCATTACGTCTAAAACGTCTTAAAGAAATATTTTTTTTAGATAACAGGGTATCTTCATGACTTTTTGGTCACCCTGCACAATACCCCATCGTCGAACCTGCTTCACAATCGCTGCTGCAGTAAAACTCGCATAAGTCTGATCTTTATAAATCGTGTAATCACTTAATCATACGTGCACAGGAGTCCCCATTCAGTTTCCGACCAAAACCCACTTAGATTTCTTTGCGCTAGTTGTATTTTATAAAGCAAATCATCTCATAGCACCGTAGCAGCATGCATTTGAAGCACGCATGCGCAGTGTAGTTTATTAATTAAACCGAATTTTATCCGACTTTGCCTGTAACTCATACTTTGGGTCAGTCATTTTAAATGTGATGCTCCCGACTGATACAGCTTATGTGAGGTTTCCAGTAGAAACATGACGATCGCCAGGACATTACTCCGTGGCTCACGGCCAGAGCGCTCATGGTGGGCAGGCAATGTGGCCCGTTCACATGACACAAACCAGGGAGCAGACAGACGACAGACAGTAACACAACCTCACGGGAAGTAACAGAAACAAGGCATCACGAGCAGAGGACTCTGTGGGTGGGCACATGTTGCTCGAGCACTAACAGCCTGCTTTTTAGTGTTGGGCTCTGTGTATTTGTCTGAATTAAAAAGTGACTCGATTTACATTGGTACAGATTAGTTCACGCCAGGGTTTGATACCGAAGCTGAGCACCCGAGCTGGGAGTGGGGGTGGGGGTGGGTCAGCGGGTGGGTTTGGGGGCTGGCGAAAGATGACCCAAAGCGCGGTCAAAGTGGTTCGTTTTGCGATGACCCTTGAACCTTGCGTTTTCAGCCATCAAAGCCCGCCCTGACACGGTGAGTCAAATTAGTGTTTAAAGGGCAAACGATCTGATCTTAAAACGACTATGAAAAACAGACAGCGGATGTTCTGGGGATTTGTTTTGACAGGAAGTGGTTGTACATCTGGACCCGAAACAAAATAATGATTTCAACTAAAATTTAAGACCCGGTTTTGGCTTTAGAGCCGTGTGGAATAATCCTCGCATTACGAGAAAGTGCCTCCCACAGTGGGAGAGTGGCTCAAAGCGTTGGATAAACGTCAATTGTATTGCAACCCGTCTCCTCTGTCGATTAGAATGGACTAGGTAAAAAGTCATTCAAAACGACGACAATAAATTTTGTCCCACGGAAGCCATCTCTACTCCAAGACACACGTATATATATATAGAAAGAGAGAGAGTGTCCATTGCCTGGTTAGCGACAACACACGGGGGCAGAAGGTGAATGGAAACCCCCCCACCACCCCATGTGGGCTGAAAATTTGCATCTTTATTTTGGGGGAAGGTGGGGGGCAGGGCATTGCTGTTTGTGGGATGTTATTGTTATTGTGCTCAAGTTGGCTGCCAGGTTGGCCTAAAATCACCACGGTTTTCAGTAAACTCTGTGAGGTGCTTTGAAACCCTCCCGAGCATTCGATAGATGGCACCTACCACTCGCCACTCGCACGTACTCCTCACAGATCAACAACAACATCATCAACACTTGTGGGTATCCAGCGCCTCCTCATGTCAGGAGGACGTCCCAAGGCCCTGGACAGTCGAAGCTTTGCCCCCGAGCTGGGGAATGTATTCGGGAGGGGTGGAGGCCAAGGGCAGGGTCGAACAGGAAGGCTGAAAGCCCGACCGCTGATGGTGGCGCGGGCAGGATGGGGCAGGCCAGTGCCCGTCGAGCGGAGGGAACAAGTGGGGTTTTAGCAGATGACAACGGTGGGACGGGGCAAGACCATGGAGGGCTTTAAAAGTGAGGACCAGGATCTTGAAATTGATTCTCTGGGGGATGGGCAGCTGGTGGAGTCGGGCAAGGGTGGGGGTGATGGGTCACGGAGCCTGGTGCGGTGGGGGGAAGAGAGAGAGAGAGAGAGAGAGAGGGTTTGAGACACGATCCAAGCGGTCTAAAACGTTGCCTTTGATTTAGCGGACTCCTTCAGACTTTTGTGCCATTTCCCACCTCCTTTCCCCTCTCCCCACCCACATTTACAAAACAACAACAACTTAACATTTACATAGCGGGGCAGTGTCTCGCAGCGCTTAACAGCTGTGGAGCCTGAAACCGAGCCGGGGGGCGTGAAGGGAGGAAGTGACCACAAGCCCGGTCAAAGAGAGTAAGGAGGGGCAAGGCGGAGGGATTGGGGGAAGAGCTTCCAAAAGCTTCACGGTGTAGTGGCTGAAAGTGAGGCCGCCGAAGGTTGAGGGAGATGCCAGAGCCAGCCGAGCGGAGGCAGCGGCAGTGGAATCAGGAGAAAGCGGGTCAGAGAAATAGAGAGATGCCAGCGCGTGAAGGAACAAGTTTGTAGACGAGGGAGAGGGCCATGAAATCGAGTGGCATGCCTTCACGCAGGCAGGAAAACAAAGTATGAAGAGCACGATAAGTATGTAAAAAGGATCGCTATTCAGCCGAAACGCGAGATCACAGACTTGCTGGCCTCCTCCCAGGTACAAACTGTTCCCTTTTTACCGCAGAACAAGTTATATCGAGACCAGGCGCAAGAAAAGGCCATTCTTCCCCTCCAGCTTGCTCTAATTAAGTCTGTTCTCCAGATACTTAAAACTCGCACGCTTGGACCACCATCGCACGGAATGCCGGCTGCACCACTGAGCTATCCTGTGTCCATCAATCCCACATCGACCCGTCCGCTCCCTCCACTCTCAGTGGGCTCCATCGGCAGTCATGCCTTCACCCTTTTTGTCTCCACCCTTTGGAACTCCATCCCACCAGTCACTTTCCCTCACTCCCTCCCTTACCTCCTTCAAGGCAAGTCTCAAGACCCTCCTCTTCGACCGTGCCTTCAGTCACCCTCCTGCCCCCTTACCCTGTCTGCCCTCCACCCCCTGGTCAATCCAACCCTCAGCTCGGGTTTGAATCCCTGACTGTCCAGCGCTTTGGGACGCCTTCCCGACACAAAAGGCAATATCAATATTAATATAATTTGTTGTTGTTAAGGCACGGCGAGGGATGATATCAGGTCCAGGCCTGGAATTCCTCCCTCCAAGTTATGGGAACAGAATTATAGAGCACTGCAAGCTTCCATTCCAGCAAAGATTGAAGGGGAGATGTGATCCAGATCTTTAAATGCTAGGAGCTACTCATAAAGATGCGAGCAGGCGATTTAATAGGGCTGTGAGCGCTGAACTAAAGGACGAGTACAAAATTAACAAGCCTCAGGCGAGACTAAAAAAAAAGAAGTATTTCTCCTACAGAGCAGTGGACATGTGGGGAACAGATTCCCAGCATTAGCAGGCAGAGCTGTGTCGATTAACTCCTTTTGAAGAAAAGCTGACGAGGTTTGAGTTAGGAATTGGAATGAAGGTCACAAAGATAAGTACAGAGAGAGAGCGAGAGAGAGAGAGGGGGAGAGAGGGCTCGGGGAAGGGGGCGAGAGAGTGGGAAATCAAATATAATGATCCTTGCATTTGATTTAGTGCCTTTCATGTCTTCGAGACGTCTCAAAGCGCTTCACAGAATATATTGTAAAGTGAATTGACTGTATTTTTGTGGGAAAAACAGGACAGCCAATTGCGCACATCGGCCTCCCACAGTCGTGGATTGAAGTGACCACTTTTTTTAATTTAAATGTCACACTGTGAGCTTGGATTGAGTGACCAAATTATTATTTTTTTCTTGAGAGATTATTATCAGGCGTGTGGAGTAAGGAAACTTGTCGAAGGTTTTGCCCTGCCAGGAATTGAACCCAGGTCTCGCGGTTGCAAAGCGAGCGCTCTAACCACTGAGCCACAGGACTCCATATAGCGCCTTATCACGTCAATGAGACGTCTCAAAGTGCTTCACAGAATATATTGTAAAGTGGGTTGACTGTGTGTTTTGTGGGCGAACACAACGGCTTCAAAACTCCTGGCCACCAAACAAACAGCAACAACTTGACTTTATACAGCCCTGTTCACGCAGTATAGTGTCTGAGTGAGCGCTGAAACCATAGACACTGCAGGGAGAGCAACTCGAATGACGAGTAACACACTTGACAAGTTACAATACAACATAAATTTACTTTTATGTACAGCGCCATTCACGTCAGGAGGCTATCCAAAGGCGCTTAGCTGGTTGCACCTTCGTGCGAATTGCACAAGGTGTGTGGAGAGAAGGGAGTAAATAAGCAGGTTAAAGAGGTAGGGAGGGATCTGTGGGTGAGGGTGAGGACCTTGAAATCAAGCTCTAATGATAAGTGTGTGGTGTGTGTGTGGTGGTGTGTGTATGGTGGTGTGTTGTGTGGTGGTGGTGTGTGTTTGTGTGTGTGGTGGTGTGTGTGTGGTGTGTGTGTGGTGGTGTGTGTGTGTGGTGGTGGTGTGTGTGGTGGTGTGCGTGTGTGTGGTGGTGTGCGTGTGTGTGGTGGTGTGTGTGTGTGGTGGTGGTGTGTGTGTGGTAGTGTGTGTGTGGTGGTGGTGTGTGTGTGGTGGTGTGTTGTGTGTGGTGGTGTGTTGTGTATGGTGGTGTGTTGTGTGTGGTGATGTGTGTGTGTGGTGGTGTGTGTGTGGTGGTGTGTGTGTGTGTGTGGTGGTGTGTGTGTGTGGTGGTGTGTGTGTGTGGTGGTGTGTGTGTGTGGTGGTGGTGTGTGTGGCACAAGAAAGGGTTCTATTGTACCTCATTGCCAGCTGCAAGTGCCGGGGAATTGGGTAACTTCCTTTTTCTGGGTCCGATGGCAGCCAGGGCTGTAAGGTTCGCCTCTCGTTGCTGCATCTGTGCAAGTTCCATTTGCTGCATCTGTTTAAAACAAAGAGTGCGGTCGCTTTATTAGTGATATATATCTTCCCCCTTACATTTGATACGCGGCCTTTCACGTCGGGAGGACTTCTCAAAGCGCCAAACCAGGATATGGCGTGAAGCGCGGTGGCTCTGTCTTTCGCGGGCGAACATGGCAGCCCAATTTGCGCACAGCAACATCCCACAGACAGCCAGGAAGTGAACCAGCAATTTGTTGGCCAGACCACCAGGAGAAAATCACCTTCTCTTCTCAAACAGTGCCACGGGATCTTTAACATCCATCTGAACAGGCAGATGGGGCCTCGGGTTAACATCTGACCTGATGTGTCCCAAGCCCCACATCTGGACACTTAACTCCCACTCTAGGCTGCGTTGCACTGTCCGAAAGTGCCAAGGAGATGTTAAACTCGGGTCCCTTCTGCCCGTTCAGGTGAACGTGAAAGATCCCCCGTGGCGCGATGCCAAAGGAGAAAGGAGTTTCTCCCCGTCTCCTGGCAGACGGTCCCCCCAGATAAAATCACATCGTGGCTGTTTGTAGATTGTTGCTACCCACAATTGAGCTGCTGCATTTGCCTACAAACACGCTCTCAGTAACTGCTTTGAGACGGCCTCCCGATTTGAAAGGTTCTGTACCAAATGCGCGGATTATTGTTATAAATCTGGAATAAGTACGCGATTCGTTCCGTACACTGTTGGGCATAGCCAGGTGTCTTTCGGAGGTCTGAGCATCTCTAATAATAACAATCCTAGCATTTGATATAGTGCCTTAAAAAGAGACGTGTGGATTAAAGAAATTTGCCTAAGGTTTCATTCATTTGCCGTTTATCGGGTTTGCAAATTTAACCCGCTCTGTCACCACCAGGGCTTTAACGCTGTTTGAGTCACCTTGGCGGAGCGAGCCTTGTAAGTGTTGAGGCTGAAAATCAACAAGCTTTTCTGCGGGAAATAAACATCGAAGCCTTATTGGCTGGCTGTGTAGTGGCCAGTGGTTGTGTGAGAGAGAGAAAAGAGGGAGAGAGACCCACTCACAGAGGCAGGTGTTCAGGGCAGGGGCCGGGTGTTGTCCACTGATTAAAGACGCTTGATTAAAGACACCAGCCTTAAGGTGCCTTAAAGAGTCAAAGTCTGCGGAAACAGGCCGGTTGCTTCATAAACCATTTTCCCCAACACTCCCTGCCCTCCACCCCTCCCAATCCCAACCCCCGGCTCGGGTCCAAATCCTCGACTGTCCAGCGCCTTGGGACGTCCTCCCGATGTGAAAGGCAATTTGGTGTTGTTTAATATAAAAGCTTTTGTCTCAACACACACTCAAGCCTTTGCAATGAGTACTGAACACAAAAGATTGCTCGTGAGGGGATGGGCAGGGGAGGAGGGGAGAGAGGAGAGAGAGAGAGAACCGCCTAACTCTCCCCACACAGACACAAGGGTGGGGGAGAAGAGAGGTGAAACTTAATTTCTCCAGCTCCGCAGCTTTCATCTGAGAAAACTTGCAGTGTCTTTATTAGCATCTGTCGTCAAATCTTTAATCACGAAATGTGAGCGAGTGCAGGGCTTGATGATTTATTCAGCAGGGAAAAGAATCTGTAGGTCAAGTGAAAAATTTCACACACAGCGCGAATGTTGGGCACTTTTCATTTGCTTCCATTCCCCATAGCCGTGGGGGCTGAGCACTAGTGAGCTCTAATATCAAGGCTCAATTAAAATAAGGTCCAATTAGTGGAGCTTTTTTTTTCTTCTCTCAGGCAGCAAAAGTCAGGAAATGGATATTGGGAAATGTAAAAGTCAGCTACTGTGAGAAGACAGCAGACATAAATGAACTTATTTGTTGGTTTCGTCAGTTGCTATACCTAACCCTTTGGGAGCAAAAGCTTAAACTATTCTAAGCTATAAAATAAAAAACCCTGCGGCTAAACATGAACTGTGTGAAACAAGGGCTCGATCACATAACAGGAAAAAAAACTGCTGGGCTTAGAAAATTAAAAGCCGGGGGCATTTTCCATTTACAACTAAATCCCAGTTCCGCCTCTGAGCCAAAGAATTAAGCAGTAACAGATTTACAAAATGAACATTTATCCTAAAATATGTAACCCATTGTGATATTCCCAAATAACAAATCCGCGACTTTAATAGGAGAATTCCATTCAGCCAGCAGTTTGCAATCGTGCAGTTGGAAGATATGTTTTTCCAGATTAGTTTTTACTCGTTAAAAGAAAAAGGCTTTTTTTTGTTAAAATAAATTTTATCGATGCAAAGGAACCACCAACCACTAACCCCACTCCCTCCACCCCCGCCCCACCAGCCATTTTTCCTTGCGTTGACCTTGTTTGATGTGTCGAACTTGCCTTTAGCAGTTCCTGTCCTTGCCTGAGGACACAACACACACAAAAAAAATGCAGCATGCAGTGACTATACAAATCCTGACCTAAATACCGAGAGATCTGCTGCCAAAACCTCCGTTTCCCCAAACAACCAACAGTAAAGACACCACATGCCCAGTGCTCTAGCTCGACTAGACTCACCTCTTTGGCTTTTTGTTTCAACCTCATCTGTTCCGGGTCCTCTTGCCTGACACGGCTCTGGTGACGTGTGGGGAAAGACAAAAAAAAAATAATTAAAAATCACGAAAATTTACGACTCAAATACCTGCGAAATACTCGCGTACTCTTAAAACCCCACGTTCGCTTCGCGGCTGTTTGTGGGATGTTACCGTGCGCAAAATTGACATCATGTGGCCACATCGCTTTGTCGTAGGTCCTTTTGAGGCGCTTTGAGATGTCTTCCCGACGTGAAAGGCGCAGGTTTCGAATCTAAGGATTCTTATTATTAATGCCATGAGTTGCTAAACCGAGGATCCAGTCTCAGACTGTTCCGGTGGACGTTAAAGATCCCGCGGCACTATTCGAAGAGAGAAGGAAATTTCTCACTATGTCATGGCCGACAATTCCCCCCCACCCACCTACCCACCCTCCCCAAATAAAATGAGTCACTCATTTCACGGTTGGTTGAGGGACATCGCTGTGCGCGGGTTCAAGCCCCACATCAGGACTTGAACTCAGCCCAAGTTAACATTCCAATGCAGTGCTGGTGGGGGAAGGGGGTGGGGGAAGGGGTTGGGGGGGGGCACGAGGGGTTGCATCATTGGAGGTGCCGTCCTTCTGATGCCATGTCGCTATCTGAAAACAAAGAGAGTTTCTCCCAGTGTCCGGAACTATGGGTTGGGTTGACCTGCAAAAACACAGTCATTTGACTTTGCAGTAAATCCTGTGAATCACTTTGGGACGTCCTCCTGTTGTGAAAGCCGCTATATCAAATGTAAAGATTATTATCCTTTAAACCTTCCTGGCTGGCCATTACATTTTTATACCTATTATTACCTTATACCTTCATATCTATTTTCTATTGATTTTTTTTGTGTCGCTTTGTAACACAGAACTGCAATAAGGGAAGGAGAGAGAGAGAGAGAAAGAGAGCGAAGGGGGTTGGGGGGGGAGTGGGGGATGGGTGAAGGTGAGAGCATTTTGGTTAAACTCTAGCAATCACATTTGATACAGCACCTTATCACATCGCCGAGGTCTCAAAGCGCTTCACAGAGATTTTACGGTGAAGTGTAGTGACTGTGTGTTATGTAGGCGAATAAGGCAGCCAATTTGCGCACAGCAATGTCCTACTGACGGCAACAAAGTGAATGACCGATTATTATCTACGGGGATTGTTGGCCCAGACAATGATTGTCCACATCCTTCAAGAGGATAATGCAGTTATCAGGTAAACAGGTTCACACAATCCAATTGAGCAACGAGATTTTCAGGATGAAGTTGTCAAGGCTGAATCACGTTTATTTGACAATATACCTAGAATGGGTTTCCCGTGGTGAACGAGAAGCATCAGACAAAGCGGCGACAAAAGAACAACCAACCCCGATACCTGATGTGTGAAAATTGTATCCTTGTACCCAGATTGTGGTGGATTCACAATGAGGTTAAAGCTACAGAAATTGCTGCGCAACAATACAACGATGACAAATTACATTTAAACAGGGACTTCCATACGGGAGGATGTCCCAAGGCGCTGGACAGTCAACGATTTGCACCCGAACTGGGGGCTGGGATAGGAGGGGTTGAAGGCAGGGAGAGGAAGAGGTAGATGTGTGTCCGAAGACACGGTTGAAGAGAAAGGTCTCGAGATGGGTCTTGAAGGAGGCAAGAGACGGAGCGAGGGGAAGGGACTGTGGGCTGGTGTTCCAAAGGGTGGGGACAGGAGACCCGACTGCCAATGGTGGGGCAAGCAGATCGGGTGACCTCGGAGCCTTCTGAGCGGAGGGAGTGGGCGGACAGGTTGGTATGGAGTTAGCAGGTCACAGAGGTGGGGAGGAGCAAGGCCGTGGAAGGCTTTGAAAGCGAGGATGATGATTTTGAACTCTATCCTCTGCTCTAGTGAATACAATTTACAAACATAACCTGTGTGTTTGTTGGTCCAGTGTTTAGTTTACCAAATGCAAGGATTATTATTTACATCGTGTGTCAGCCTGGCTCAGTTGGCAGCATTCTCTGACCTCTGAGTCAGGAAGCTGTGGGTGCAAGTCCCCAACACGCTGCATTGTCAGAGGCTCTGGCCATTCGGAGAAGAACGTTATACCGAGATCCTGCCTGTTCAGATGGACGCTAAATGGCTCTATCCAAAAAGAGAAGAGAGTTTCTCCCAGTGTCCTGGCCAACAATCCCCGAAAATAAAATAGGTCACTCATCCCAGGGTTGTTTGTGGGACGTTGCTGTGCAAAAAAGTGTTCACTTACAAGTCACGGTCACTACTTTTTACAGTATATTCTGTGAAGGGCTTTGAGACACCTCAAGAACATGATCAGGCCCTTGTATCAAATTCACAGATGATTTATTATGGCATAGAGCTGTTCACACAAGGAGAACATCTTGAAATGCTTTACACTGTTTTACAACTGAACTGGAGATGGGGTGAGGGGGAGGGTTGGAGGGAAAAGATGGCTGAAAGCATTGTCAGAGGCAAGTCTTCAGGCCCGTTTATTAAGCAAAACTAAACGAGGACAAATGGCAGGATTTTTTTTTACTGTCCAATTTTCTGCTCCTGTGATTACGCACACTAGAGAACGAAGAGAGCATTATCTTAGCAGTCAACGGAAATCAAGAGCATGAGTTGAACGACTGTAGTTAATGAGTTAATAATAGTTGGCGACAGAGCGACCCAGAATTAATCACTGTACATCATCTGGTAAGTGACATATCCCCAGCAGATTACAACACTGTTATGGCACTATCATTGCAATGTGCTTCAGTCACTTAACTTGCACAAAGGAGGCAACTGGCACAGGAAAGAGTTCATTCAAAAAAAATCCACAATCTATTTATTTCAGCGTGTTTCGACTCTTATAGCGAATGGTTCGTCACAGAGTCAGTCAGTCTGTCTGTCTCGAGAGAAACACTAGTGAAAACCTCACCATCCAAGAGATGAGAGTAAAGGGAAAGGGCGAGGACAACTTGTTTATATAGGGCAGTATCTCAGAGCACTCAAGAATGGCATTGTTTGATGCCGAGGGAAAAGGTGGTGGGGGGTGGGTGGGGGGTGGGAGGAAGAAGAGGCGACCACAGGCACAGCCGGAGAGGAACGTCTTCAGGTATGATCTGACGACGGGCAAAGAGGGAGCGAAGTAGAGGGAGTTTCAGAGGCTTGGGGGCACACTGTGGTCGCTGAAAGCCACAAGGAAATTACTGACAGAGCCGTACGAGAACCAGGGAATAGCAGGTTCGACTTCCTACTGCCTGAAAGCCCATGTTCCTCACTCACAACAAAGCAGTTCCAACTCCCGGGACAGATTGAAACCATTCCTTTTGTAAGCATTTGAAACCATGTTGCTTCTAATGTTTGCCCAGATTTCGTGTGTCCCAGCAGTTTAGGAAGCAGTGCATTCTGCTCCCAGGTCAACGTTCCTCGCCAAGTGGTTGTCTTTCCCTTGCCAGCCCCCGGCATCCGCCCATTCCCCCTCCCCACCCCTATTCTCCCTTCCCCACGTTCCATTCCCAGTGACTTGGCCATGATTTGGAAGCTTAGCTACTTGGCACACACGTTTCCTTTCCTTCCCTCCCGCTAAGACGTTAAGCACCTGGAACAAACAACCCTTGTTTTTGGTGGTGATTCTGGTGGGGGAGGAAGCGAGATAGGAATTTTAAAAACAAAATTAGCATGAGTGAAAAATATTTCTGATTTCAGGTATTGAAAGACTTAGCTCACCTGTACTGTATAGTCCCGGTTATCTCTCCCCTCTCCCTCTCCCCCTGGCTCATCGTCAGACACTGTGAAGCACTACCTCGAGTGAAGGGCGCTACAGAAATGCAAATTGTTGTTGTTGTATAGGGCTGCAACAGGAGCAGCTACAGAGAAGGGAGTTTCTGAGAAAAGGGTGAGAGAAGAAAAGGGTGTCCTGGATGACAAACCTCTTTTACTGGGATGATACCAGGATTGGCAGGTTACTGCTATAAGGACAGACTGTATAGGTTGGGCCTTTTATCGATTAGAGAAGAGATGATTGAGGGTGGACTAATATAGGTGTTTAAAATTATAAAAGGGTTCGATAAGTTGAACATAAACAGGGTGTTTCCATTGGTTGGGGAGTCTGTAACCAGGGGAAACAGCCATAAAATAGGGACTAAGGGGAATCTGAAAGAGAATTTAGGAGGAACTACTTCACGCAGAGGGTAGTGAGATTGTGGAACTCGCTACCTGAATCAGACAGTGTACATAATAATAATAATAATAATCCTTGCATTTGATATAGCGCCTTATCATGTCTTTGAGACGTCTCAAAGTGCTTCACAGAATATATTGTAAAGTGAGTTGATGGCATATTTTGTGGGCGAAACACGGCAGCGAATTGCGCACAGCAGCGTCTCACAAACAGTTGTGGATTGAAGTGGATTATTTTATTTTGAAGGAATTATTACCCTTGGAAAAACGATCCGCCAATCAACTAACAACATTGTTCCTACTTACTGCTGGGTAAACGGAGATGTGGGGAGTAAGGAAACTTACCCTACATTTGCCCTACAAATACACAGTCTACACTTTACAGTAGATCCTGTGAAGCGCTTTGAGACGTCCTCCTGACGTGAAAGGCACTTTATATATTTATATCAAATATAAGGATTATCATCGGAATTATTACTTTACGTTGGCATTGTTGAATTCTATCCCAGAGCTCCCACTCCCGGTCTGGGTCCCCCAGCGGCTGTGTAAAGCGGTTTAAGACTTCCTTCTGACATGAAAAGCACTGTGCAAATATAACTTGCATTGCACTGAACCTACAATGTTCAAGTAGCTCCTGTTGGCAACAAAAATTGAGATACAAATCTCAGCAACTGTGACTGCCAACCAGGAGAGGAATCTGACCCAGTTCCCTCAAAGATTCCACGACTGTCCGAAGCCAAATTTATTTGAAATGCAAGCATTTTTATTATTGTTTCCACAAGATTCCCTCTCCCCCCACCCATTTGACTCCAATATTGCAGTCTTGTAGCATATTGGTTGGAGCACTCGCATAGAGGAGGACCTG